AGCAGGGTAAGTGACTTTTAGTCAGGCAAGTTAAAAGCCTTTTGTGCAAGATGGAAGAAAGCGAGTACTGCCGTGTGTATCATCGTCGACTTTCATGGATTTTTTTTTAAGGGGCTGAGAGGGAGAGAAAGGAAATTACATTCTGTTTGGCACTATGATCTTTGTTTAGCCACTGATCAAAATGGAGCACTGTAATTAATAATGTATAGAGATACATAGCTTTTACTAACGATTTTTGAATACTTCAAAATAATTTCCTTCATTTCCAGAGAATTACTACAGCTGTTCTGCAGCTTCTTTCCTAGTGCTTTTATTGTCTTGTATTTATTCTTTGTATTTTGATTGTGGTGTTTTACTCTCTCTGTTTGTTCCTGTTCGCCTGCCTTTCAGTTCCAGAGATAGTCAGGGAGACCCAAGACCTGATTGAGCAAGGGGAACTTCTGCAAGCTCATCGAAAACTGATGGATTTAGAGTGCTCTCGTGATAACCTGATGTATGAGCAGTATCGCATGGACAGCAAAAACACACATGACATGAACCTCATCCATACATACTTTGGGGATATGCAGAAACTTTCGGAGGAGTTGGGAAAGCAGCTTTGGATGGTGGTTCAAAGATCTCTTGTTACAGTCCGTCGAGATCCAACCTTGCTTGTTTCTGTCGTTAGGATAATTGAGAGGGAGGAGAAAATTGACAGACGCATGTTAGACCGGAAAAAACAAACTGGTTTCATACCTCCTGGCAGACCAAAGAAGTGGAAAGAAAAAATGTTCAACATTTTGGAAAGAACTGTGAGCACACGAATTGAAGGCACTCAAGCAGATACTAGAGAGTCTGACAAAATGTGGCTTGTGCGCCACCTAGAAATCATACGTAAATACGTCCTTGATGACCTCCTCGTGGCCAAAACCCTGCTGGATCAATGTTTTCCTCCACATTATGACATTTTCAACAAATTGCTAAACATGTACCATCAAGCTTTATCCACCCGCATGCAAGAGCTTGCTGCAGAGGATCTGGAAGCGAATGAGATTGTTAGCCTTCTGTCCTGGGTTCTAAATACATACAAAAGGTAAGGTCCCCTTCTCTTTTATGTTAGCAGTCGTTGAGAGTAAGCCTGCAAAACACAGTTCATGTGCCAATATTTGCATGTCTAATAACATATAAGAAGATAAAACAAAAGACAGGTAATAGTAACTTGCTGGTTTGGTGTTTGTTACCCATTTTCCTTTCTGGAAATTGCTCCTTAAAGCTTGTTTGTATTTTCTGATATGTGATTTTGAGTTGTTTTGTAAGCTTAAAGTTTTCATGCCGTTAAAGACCTGCTTGAAGCTACAGTGACTTTGTGTTTCTGTGCCAGTTTGGTGAAGTATTAGGAAGACCAGAAGGACTGAGAGCTCGTGTGTGAAACAAAATGTTTGTTGTTGGCCACAGCCCTAGATCTGTGTGGTTATTAACTTTCTATTGTTCTTTTTTGCAGGGGTTGGGAGTGTTTCAGTGTTAATTTGTGATTGTTAAATGGAAAGAATGTAGTAACTTCCTTCAGGTTTTCTCTCATGACTGTGTGGCGATTTGTTTATTTAGCAGAATTTGTGCTTACAGGTTGCCTCCTGTGGTACTCAGACGCTTTGGGTTGTGTGATTTGTTGGAATAACTGAAGCATTCTGTCTTTTTTTTTTTTCCTTTCTTCACCCTCCAGGTAGAAACAGCTCAAATGGCAACCGCTTAGTTTTTGCTGGCATGTAGTTACTAGAGCAACTGATTTGTTTGGGGAAAAAAGTAATGCTAGCCTTTGTGTGGCTCGTGACTGTAACCCTGTTCTCAGTAGCTGGCACTGACCCAGAGCCTGTGCCGTGTCCCCTTCTGCTGTCTTCGGTTCTTCAGTCTCTCTAATTCGCCAAATTGGATGCTTGATAGGTTTAGAGTATAATACCGTAAAGCAGATAGGTAGGAGATAATGCTGTTCTGTAGAAGTTGTATAACCAGCTTTAAGATCCATTTTGTTCAGAACTCTGTGCCTTGCTCTGCACTGCAAAGTTCTTTTCTTCCCCACAAGAAACAATCAGGAGCTTGTCGCTTGAAGTGAAGTACTAATGCGTGCTGACGTACCCGTGCAGGGTGTATGAGAGATGCAGCTACTGATAAGGAGCTGAGTTCATTGAGCTCTTCTTATTTGTTAATAGAAGGCCGGAGGAGTAACTCCACAGTGAATGAAAATCAGAAATATGTGAATCCCTCTACCTTTGGAGGCATGGCCTCCGCAGATATCCTGCTCCTGCGTTCTTCATTTATGTCCTGGGGCTGATGTTCCAGTAGAGCCATTCTTGGTCTTAAAATTGTCCCTCTAGCCTTCCCCCAGGACGTGGGGCAGATGGCTATTGAGTTAGCCAGTTCAGAGCTAAAGCTCTCTCGATCCATGTGTTCTGTCGTAGGAAGGGCAAAGGAGGGGGAGCAAAGCCAGCGTTGCGTTTATTTGCGAAGCAAACCAATCCAAAAGGGCTCCCTCCTGCTAAAGCAACCTCTGTGGCTCACAGCACCTGAAGGCAGAGCTTTGTAAAGGAAGTGAAACGGGGAGAGGAGTGGGCGTGTGGTACAAGATACCCGAGAATGCAGTTCTGCCCTGTATATCCGTGTAACAAGTGTGATGGAAATCAGAGGAAATATCTCAGGAAAAAAACTAAGGCTTTGAGTTTCTTTCTTCTCTTAAAAAAAAAATAAAAATAAAAAGCCTGAGAGGGCACTACAGTAGTTGTGTTGTTATAGAGTACAATAAACCATTATAAAACGGATGATAATTAGCTGTTGTGTACGTTTGTAGTGGACAGTGGAAGAAGAAATCAGCTCAGGCTTGTGAGTGGGAAAAGTGAAGTGCTCAAGCAGGATATATCTGCGGAGCTTACCAAATCTCTTAACAACACAGTAAACAATTCTCTGTAGGGATATGTTTATAATAAACTGTGAAGGAGGACGGCCTATGTGACATCGTAAGAACTGTGTTTCTGTGGTATTTCACCCTCTTTTTTCCCTGTATGAAAAGTAGGTTCTAAAGTGCTGTTACATTCCTCGTTCACTTCTGTGGAACACTGTGTGGTGGGAGATACTTTTGTCCATTCTAATCCTCCTCTACTTTTATTAAATGTAATTGAATATTAGAGGGAACGTGTCAGTTTGTATTTGCATGTTGCAGCTGCACTTCAAAACCAGATGAGAAAATACTGACCAATTAAGAGAAGCATTGAGGTGTTTTTCCATGTAATGAATGGATAAGAAGGCCACGCATAACTTCGGTTTCCAATATTTGCAGGATAAGAGTTTTAGATACCAGAGCGTGTCTTGGAAGCTGTTAGTAGAACTGTGTTCAACCCGTACCTGAGAAATGAAGTGATGCTCCATGGGGAATAATAGCCTTTAGTGTTGGGGTGGGGTGCAGGGTTGCTGTGCTGGATGTAGTTCTCTTTCTTATTTAAGCCAGTGAGAGCTTTGGTAACACACTGCTGTTACTAAATCTCTACTGGGTTGGGACCAGGAATCTGATCTGTGTTTTGGGGAAAAACGTAAGTCTTAAGAGCCTGATGCCCATGTTCATAACATCATTTTATCAGATACTGACTAAGTGTTGACAGGAGTTCACCAGCATTGCTACAGACAGCGTCAACAATCTTCTCTCCGAAGAGCAGAAGGAATGGTGCTACATATCTAGCTGGGTGCTGTCTCTGGATCGAGTACCTCTTCTTACAAGATGGAGCAGGATTCTGGCAAGCCTGGCATAGGAGAGAGAATAGAAATGTTTATTTCCAGATCATACAGTTGAAATTTCAACTTGATTATAAACTTTTTGTTGGAGGGAAATAACTCCCCTACAGTTAGAAGCCTTGTGACGCCTCTAAAAGTGTTGTCTGTCACTTTGTTTCCCCCAGACACTTGGGTTGTGGCAGTTGGGAAGGAGAACTTACGTGTAGGAAGAATTTTTGCCTTTGGGTGCTGGAGGTAGTGAAGCCGAGAAAACTCACTAAGTGTTATCCAGCAGGGATTCTTTATTGCGGCGCCGGGCAGCACGGGGGATCGCTCCTTCCATACGTGCGTGCCCAAGCGTTAGGATGCTTGCCTTATTTTTACAGCTTTCATGTTTATTCCTTACATTTCTAAGAAAAGGTTGGGTTATTCTAATTATTTCCAGGAATTCATTAACATAAGTTCCTCCCATAGTCCCGCCTCAGTCCGCCCAAGTTACAGCCCCCATCGGGGGTCCTTGGGGATGAAGGTCCAAGTCTTCCTCCTGGCTGAACTTTTGAACTTGTCCTGTGGCGCATGCCCTGTATCATTCTGGGTCTTTTCCAAACTACAGGACCAGCTCTTGCTCGCTGCCCTCCCTGTTTCTTCTGCTCAGTCTTCTGTGTTCCTTGAGCCCCACAGTCTGACTGGAGGATTCCACCTGGTGTCCTTCGCTTGGCGCATTCTGCTTCATTCTTATCTTTAAAGTGTTTGTTAGTCAGTCCGCGATGGATCTATGCATAAGGGTCAGTACAAATTGGCCTCCCTCCCTATCTCTAAAGGCTGCTCAGCAGCACTTTTCTAAAAGCCAGTTAACTAAAAGCTAGTTAGCCACTCTTTATTCCAGTAGAAGCCTGTGGTTTTTAATTTGGGGTTTCAGTTGATATGTTTTGAGAAAGATTTAATATCTCTGCGGCCTTGTGAAGTAGGGATAATGGTGGTAAAATGAGGCTAGAAATACTTTTCTGATAGGGTACAGTGCCATAAACAGCTTCTCACATTTTCCCTGAGTAAGCTTAGAGCAGGTCCTGCTATTGCGTGTATTCTTTATCTAAGCAGCAACAGAACAGAATTCAGTTTGCTGAAGAGCTTGAGCCACTTAAACTATCTTCAGTCTCCTTTCCTATAGGCTCAGGAAAAGGCTACAGATGTCAAGTGTTCAGCTGAACAGTAGCTTTTATGGTTTCAAAGACAAGAATTTTGGGTTTGGAGTAGCTCGCCGTACTATATTTTTCTTAGTGCTGTGGAAGCACCACTATGCTGACTCACTGCGTGTACCCAGAGAACAACTTTAACTTGCAGAAATACACAAGCTAAACACTTGTGTAGGGTTTTTTTTTTTTAATTTGCTGGGGTTTTTTTATAGTTTCCACTGCAAATATAGAATTTGTGGCTTCCTCCTGAAAAAGCACGCTAGAAATGGACTGTGAAACAATTCACGTTATTATGATTGAATGTATTTCCATCAACTGTTAATAAAGCACACTGTGAAGAGTGTGGTTTGGAGTTATTGATTTCTTTTTTTCTTTTTGAGCATGAAATATTAAGAGTTCTTGGTATGTTGTGCTTTGGCGTAGCTTTGCTTTTTTGTTCTAGTTACACAAGCAGCTCATTATATAATCTTACACAGATGCAAAATATCACTGTAAAGTATTAATTTTATATAATCCTTGTAAAAATATTTTTGAGGGTTGTTCCAGTTTCTTTCTAACCCTATAAAATCAAGAGTTTTCCTTTGCAAGCACGTATAGCTACTGGTGCTATTAGAATACAGTACTCTGAAGTGCACTTTTGATCTGGCATGTGAGATGCCTCCTGCTCTTCCGTTAGGTGTGTTCCCTGCCAGTACAGGAAGCATTGGTATATTTTCTTTTAGTGTGTTTTAGCCTTGATATGGATGTGATACAAGTAGCAAAACAGAAGCTCTTTTGAGAAACTCGCAGGAGAGTGTTTTGTACTTTTCAGAATGTGTTGTCGGTCATTACCTCTGAAATTTAAGAGACACATAAAAATGTCCCCTAGTAAGATCCTTCAGGTTGAACCAGTTGGCTTTTGTTCGATCCTAAGCAATTGCTAATTCCTGTACATAAAAATTAGAAACACATGAAAAGGTTGAATGTTTAAAATGTCTGCAACATTTTGTTTAATATATGCAGGGCTGTAGCTTTTACAGCCTGTTCTTTGTTTTATATAGTTTTATGCACATTCCTTGTAAATGCATTTATTAATGGCAGTTACTATTAAGAACTTTTAAAAATGTGTAGATATTGGAAAATTGCCCCTTGCCGTGGTCATACCAAAAAAGCTGCATAGTTTTTAACTTTTTATCTCATTTTTCTTTACTGATTGGCAATGTCTTTTTTTCTTTTTTTTTTTAAACTCAGTGCAGAGATGATGGGAAATTCAGAACTGTCTCCCGAAGTGGATGTAAATTCTCTGAATCCTCTGATTTCACAAAACGTGGTAGACCAGCTTCTCAGCAAGTACATGTCAACACTTACTGTGAGTAACAATAATGCAAAGACACCTTCAGATGAGTTTATAGCTGAATTAGTGCCTCAGAGCTGTTCCTCCATCAGAGGAAACGGATGTGACAGATGTGAACTCGATGTCATTACTTTTACAAATTTTCGTGTGGCATGGGTAGGCTTGTTTATAAAGTTATAATCAGAGGATTTTATAGATGTAAATCATGACATTTCGAGGAATAGTTATGCTTTACAGACCATGTTAATCATATTTTATTAGAAAGGAAGGAATTCCAGCGTTCACAGGTCTAAATTCGCAGTGCTGGTACGTTAGGTAGTACTGTACAGTTACAAGCCACTGAATGCAGCTTGGTCCCGATAGTAACTGCCTCAACATTGGATACAGATGTGATCTTTTCAAGGTAATCGGGATGTTCTTGTTTGCCAGTTTGATTCTTTTCACAGTCTTTTTTTACCTTTCTTGCCTGTCGACTGTATGAGCCTAATTTCCTTTTGGGGGTGCCATTTCAAGTGCATCTTCAATATATAGACACTGCTGCTGGTTATCCTAAGAGTCCCTGGAAATCAGGCAGCTACATGGCCAAGGAATCAGTATGTGATTATCAGGTTTTTAAATGTATTTTTCTTTAAAGATCCGCTGTTGATTGCTTCTCGGACTGGATGTTGGGGTAGTTGGAACTTTGGGCTTGCTGTTCTTCCATTGTTTAATGGAATTCCTAGTCCTCCTGGGTTTAAGAGCTCTGCCAAGCAGAGAAGGGAAATTTTTTTTGCTTCTTGGGCTGTGTCAGCTACTAAAATATGTCCAGCAACAGCAACTACTTGGATTTGATACTCATCACAATAATGTGAACCGATCTTGTTGGGTCTCAAGGAAGTTGCCAGTAGAGTCTCTGCTTCACATTAGCTTTACTAGGGCTTGTATGCGAGTTTTTCTGCTCTTACCTTTAGGACTGTTGGCTTATTTTCTCAAGTAACTTTTTGGGCTTGACTCAGGAAGTACCTTTGAATTCGTTTTGTCCCCTCTTACAATGAAAAAATATACCTATGCTGGTTTTTCAGAAATGTTTTTTTCCCTACTTATTGAAAAATACTATGTCTAGAACACTGTTGTATTTATAATCTAGAAGTAGAATAAAGCAAAGCTGCTGTTCTGTTAAACACAGAGTGGTTTTCTTTTGCTGGTTTTGATTTTTGGCTTTTTCTTCTTTCCAAAGTAGAAAATACTGAAACTGCCTATTTGTTTCACAGGATTCAGCCTGACCTAATTTTCTACACATCCCCACTTACATTTCTACTTTATTTCTTTTGATGTTGTGTTTCAAACTGTTTATAAACAAAAAATAGCTAGTTCTGTTTGAGTATTTCCTAATCGTGACTATCAACTTAAATATTGATGTTTAAGTCAATAAAAATGTCTCATTTTCATCAGAGATAACATGATAATAGATTTTAACAGATTTCTAATAGATTTTTTTTTCCCTGAGCACCTCAGCTTGAAAAAAAGTTCTTGTAAATGATGACCTTAAGGTGAAAAATGTTGATGTCCCCAGGCTGATGGCTTAAAAGATTAATTCTTCTTTGCAAATCGTGTCTCATCAGAGCAGTTCTGTGCTTATGAGGGAAAAAAGACAGTACGCATCGTTTCACATAATTGAAGACGGTACTGTAGGTACTTTGCAGATACAGCACTTGACAGGCCGCTCACTGTAGTTGTAAAGGGAGGAAGAAAACTACAGGTCTGTGTTTCCTCAATGGCCTTTCTTGTGCAGGAAGATTGAAACAGAGCTTTCAGTTTCTTCCTTTATCCTGTCTGCTGTAGGAGTTTTGACCAAAAGATACTGATTTAATTTTTTTTTTATAAAAAAGTAAACATTAAAAATGAAAAGAAAAAAAAAAAGACATACTTTAGGCTTTCTTGCCCTTTCTGTACATGCCTGCTGGTCATGTTGAATTTTGAATGGCAGGGCACACTAATATACCCGTTGTATGTGGGAAAGAAGTGTGAACCTTTGTACTACTAGGGGTTTTAAATAAATTAACAAAGTGGAAAAGTGGCGGAAACCTTAAACCCTTTGAAAACACAGGAGTAATTATTCTAGATAGACAGAAGTCAACAAGTCCAATTACATATTTAGCAAACATGCTGGTCTGTACGACCTACTCTTGCAAATATGTCCATGGTATTTGACATGTGGGTGATCAGAAAACTGGCTTGATCTAAAAACAGTTGTTCTTAATGTCTCTTTGCTGTATAATGCGCTTGCCAGATGGGAGGAGAACCAACTATTGTATCTCCATCACTATTTCCTGCAGCAGTTAAGTTCCAAAAAGGCAACTTGTTTAATCTAATCCTGGAGTTTTGTCCCCAACAGTAATGAGCGTCAGTTAAATGTAGGTAAAAGGAACTACAAATAGATATGTGCTAATTCTCTTCAAAATTTCAGTTTGAAACCTAAAGCCTGAGGCTTAATAAATGCTGCCAAGGTTAGTATAAGTGTTGATTCTGACAAGCTGACTTGCTCTTTGTGTTTGGAGCACTCCCCTTCCAAAGTGTGCCTAAGCTGGATTCAAACTACATCATTAGTTTCCCAGTACAATCCCTGCTTTGTCTTTGACAATGCAAATTTTGATTTGTCTGTTACCTATCCTGTAGGGCTGACAGGAGTGGTCAGCATGACCTGTGACTATGTCACTCTTCATTATGAAATGGCTGCTATTCCAAATATTGTAGTGGGTTTTTTTGTTGTGTAAAATTAAAAAAATCTTATCTTTTCTCGATTGCTTTATTTAATGTAGTCTAACATCATTGGCTGGCTACGAAAAGCACTGGAGACAGATAAAAAAGACTGGATTAAAGAAACTGAACCCGAAGCAGACCAAGATGGGTACTATCAGACTACACTCCCAGCTATTGTTTTTCAGGTATAAGAGAACTTGGTTATTCTAGAAAATCTAGAGAAGCAGCACATGGATTTTGGGGAATGGAGGGACGGGAGGGGGAGACCAAACTGTTTGGAATGCCGTTGTTTCTGTGTCTATTGAAGTATAGTTTTATTT